TAAATATCTAGAAACCCCGAAACCCTATAAATAGCTAGAAACCCCGAAAGCCTAGGCCCTGAACCCGAATCTTGCATTTCATCCCCGGTCCGTGTGGTGCCAGCCGGAGGTGGCGGCTTTATGGCAATGGCAGTGTCGCACCCACCCAGCAGCCGCCCCTGTCAGTACCGTGCACAGAAGAGAAAAGTATCAAAAAATCTTCGGCACGGTGGCTCCTTCTCACTGTCCTTGTATCATATACCATGATGTTCAAAGCGCTTTCTAGCGGACTATATCATCATAGATTCAATCAACCAGTTACGGCCTGGAGGGATGTGATGACATTGTCAGCCGAGCGCGGTATGGACGGCAACTCGCAGCAGAACTCCACCTTGGGATGCGTCGCATTCTGGATCACGCCTGCTTATGGCTATACAAGACGCCGTGCACGCAGAACTCATCAGAATGCTGAGAGTGGACACCTACGTGACATGTCTTTGTGTCATCGTTTACTCTGACTTTTTACACATAACCGGGATGCAAGCAATCTTGATGGGTCCCTCCGGCAAGTAGGCAAGATGCGCCTGCGCGAATGAAAGCTGGGCTGCCTCTACTTCTTACCAGGAAACCGCAATAAACCCTAAACCCTAAACCCTAAAACCCTAAACCCTAAACCCTAAAACCCTAAAACCCTAAACCCTAAAACCCTAAACCCTAAACACTAAACCGTAACCGCCTGCTTCATGTAGCTGAAGGGGACCTGCTCGCCTCAGTCAGCAGCTCGGCCCCGTCAGAGAAAGAAACACCGCACCCTGAACCCCAAACCCGAAAACTCTCAACACTAAGCTAAACCCTAAACCCAGAACCCAAAACCCTCAACCCTCAACCCTCAACCCTAAACCCTCAACCCTAAAGCCTAAACCCTAGACCCTAAACCCTAAACCCTCAACCCGAAACCCGAAACCCTGAGGTGCAAGCTGTCTTCGCCCCTGTCGTTGCGAAGCTTCTGCAAGCGCTCTTCGAACCTGAGCTCGGCCCAGTTCTGAAGGTTAGGGTTGAGGGTTTATACTTGGAGGATCATGGGACTTGGTAAATAGGGTTATAAGTAAGGTAACTGGAGTTATAAATACTTATAACCCGAATTAGGGTACTTATAACCTGACTTACTAAGTCCCATGATCCTCCAAGTAGGGTTTGGGGTTGAGGGTTCATAGGGTTTGGGGTTGCGGGCTGAGGGTTTAGGGTTGAGGGTTGAGGGCTGAGGGTTGAGGGTTTGGGGTAAAGGGTTGAGGGTTGAGGGTTTAGGGTTGAGGGTTTAGGGATGAGCACAGTAATCTGCAAGAAGTCCGGAAGCAACACGCAACGCAAAGCAAAATCACACACTCACAGGCACGAGGCAGCGACCAGTGGTGTAGAACGGCCGGTATTCCCAAGAGATCCTGCAAAGGTCGCATCTCTCTCTTCCGGCTTTAGGGCTTAGGGGTTTAGGTTTAGGGTTTCAGGGTTTAGGCCATTCAGGTTTTTTGGGATTGGGGTTGGGGCTTGGGGGTTTAGGGTTCAAGGGCTCAGCGCTCAGAGTTCAGGGCTTGCGTCTTGGGGCTTTAGGTTTCCGTCCTATCGTGTGAGCTTGTGAAGATGCGACTGTGGGCGTATGGTACCAGGAAGGGGCCTTAGATTTTGATAGCAGGACCCAACGAAGGATCCGAGCCCAACAAGCTCCAAGTTTCCACCCCCAAGGGCACCAAAGTAGGGCAACGATATTAGAAGATTGTTCTATCTTCGCATACGTTAGTCCATAATGAGTTAAACTAAAAAAGCTTCAAGGATTCATCGGCGATCCGTAAGCCCCTCAAAATGCATCATCGAACAGAAATGAAGAACAGAAGGCAGCAGTCGCCCTAGATCCTGGACCTTACAGTCCAAATACAGCCCTCGAAAACCCTTGCGGATCTCGTTTCTTGCCCCTTGAGGCTCCTAAACCTCAAAGCCTAAACTCAGGGCCCCTAAACCGCAAACCCAAGACTTGAAGTAACATCAACCCTAAACCCTAAACCCTAAACCCCTAAACCCTAAACCCTAAACCCTATTTTAAACCCTAAACCGGAAAGCCCAACCTCTCCGCACGTTTCTGATAGCCCGTGGGATTGTTAAGAAACCGGCCTTTAGGAAGCGCTTGCTGCAGACGGCTACAGAAGCAACTGCAATGACCAGCTGTCTTTGAAGATGATCTCCCCAAGCCCTAGGCCCTGGACCCTAAACCCTCAACCCCAAACCCTAGGCCCTGGACTCTAAACCCTAAACCCCAAACCCTAGGCCCTGGACCCCAGACCCCAAACCCTGGACCCTGAACCCTAAACCCCAAACCCTTGACCCTGAACCCTCAAACCCCAAACCCTGGACCCTAGGGCCTGGACGAAACCCCAAACCCTGAATCCTGGACCCTGAACCCTAAACGCTAAACCCCAAACCCCAGGCCCTGGACCCTGAACCCTCTTTTCTTTTTGCCGGCGTCAGACGCCAAGCTCAAACCTCTGAGGCCTGAGCCTACCATTTTAAAGCTTGCAAAACTCACTGCCCTTCCAAGCTATACTACGAGTTTCATGATATTGGGAACATATAGGGGGGTTACTATGTTACTAGATGATACTACATGAGATGATACTAGATGATAGTCTTAGGATTATGCTGCTGCTACCTGCTTTTGGCAATCTTGAGTGCGAAACCCAAGTTATCCACATGCCATTGGGCTTGGGCAGAGACTCTCTGTGTAACACAGTGAATCTCTGCAACTGGAAACACGGCCCCAGAAAGGGCCACCATGTCGGAGATAGTTGCGTCACACTCACGCAGGCATAAGAAGGATGCCTTGATGATAACAATGGGACTTTGGGATGTTGTACTATCAATACATAGGGAACATAGGGGATACCCACGGTCCAACGATCGCAGCATGTTACACTGCTTCCAGAAAAGGCAAACCCTGTACTCTCAGGCATAGACATCTGTCGCAACAAGCTCCGACAGGCAAGATCTAAGACTTCGTAGACTGGATTGCGTAGTCAGACCAGACCTAGGTGTCGCGAGAACGCAACTGCAAACATCAGGGATGAATCTTCAAGAAAAGGTCTGCGACTCACCAACGGCTCCTGTGGCACAGCTCAAGCGATTGAGAATGTTCTGCTGAGGTGACGACGGCTAGCACAAGCTGCAGCAGCACCTCAAGCCACTTGGCAACCCAGAAACTTGCTTGTGCCACGGTGCAGCGCTTTGGTGTTTGGGTCGAGAGAGGCGTCCGGCTGAGCTGAGCCCGAAGCCAGGATCATAAACATCCTCCCGGGTTCAGCTCTCAACACAAGGTCTGCATGCCTTTGACACGACACAGAAGATGTGCCTGATTTGGACTTGGACACTTAACAGGATGGCTGCAAGAATGCAAGCAGATTGCCCTGCAACGCGGTGCAGCTACCTCGAAGCACTGGATTCCAATCCCGGCCAGTCCTAGAACATTACGTGAAGCGTGGACGGAGCCCACTTGCTCCAAGCACCAGCCTATCTACCGTAACGTACCGTATGTAATTTCTACCCAAGGGCGCAGGCATGCGCAGGCAAGCAACACGATGCGTCGCAGAGCAGCAGAGACAGTTGTAAACCATGGTGGCAAAAAGCTCTGCGTTTGCTTCAAGGAGCTGGTATGTCGGAGCCAGGAAGTCATACAACCCATGAAGACGAAGCACAGACGAACCTGCTAGAACTGGGGGTTGGGGGGAGGGTCGGACCCGTGTCACCACCCTCTTGTGGGAAAGACCAGCATTTAGTAGGTGATATAGAACATGTATATAACATAAGAACGTACAAACCAATGTAGCATGACATAAGATAAGATAGATAAGGTAAGACAGGATAAAGATCATGATCAGACAGAGACAAATGCTGCAGACAAAGACAAGGAGCACGCTGAAGAGAAGGATGCAGATAAGGATGAGGATGAGGATAAGGACAATGATACAGATAAAGCTAAACATAAAGACAAAGGTAAACATAAAGACACAAATTGTATAGTACTTGTACCGACTTGACAGACTGGAATAGAGAAGAATAGAATAGACTAGAATAGAATTAAGTAGAGTAGATGACCAGGTTCCTGGAGGGCCTCGTATCACCAAAAAAGGTGACCAAGGCTTGCCATGTGTTGGGGGGGACCATAGACTGTCCTCGTTGTGAGGACTTAGGATCAGGATCCAAATAATCGCAAAGAATGCCCGGATTGCCCGTCCTCAACGGGTCTCGTTGGTTTAGGGTTTATGGTTTAGGTGTCAGTCTTGCTGTTCCGATTTCTGATCGCTGCGTGGAACGATTGCATCTCTCTCGTGCAGAACGGCCGGTGTCCGCAGACGTCAGTTTGCAATGACCCATCCTCACAATAGACCTTCGAGCAGGTCACGGAGAACCGTGGAAGGTAGAGCACGAAGACCAAAGCAGAGCTCTACGGGTTAGAATAATCGAGGTCAACAATCGTCTTGTGCTGACGCTGACTGAACACGAAAGGCATGCGCCTTGCGATGCGAACACTTACGAACTGCATGTTAATGTGTCTGTGCGATCTGTGCCCCGACTGTGCCAGTGTCGGTCCTTGCCCACATCCAGGTCTGCGACTGGTCCGAGTTTGAAACCTGAAAGCAGTGCAGGTGTATGTGGATTGACTGCATCACTTTGCTAATCCCGTCTGGAAGCATCTCGGCTATTGCTTCCTGACTGTTTTGTATGCCTATCCCTGTCGGCACAAGGCACCTGCGAACTCGTTGCATTTCGTGAAGAAGATTTTCGAGAGAGCGGTGCACCTGCCGTGCGAGACTAAACTCGATCCCTGTACGACACCCAGGCGGTTTTAAGCAAGCAAGCCAGCAAGCAAGCAAGCAAGCAAGCAAGCAAGCGCTGATAAAGGACTACAGCTTGCAGGAACAGCTCAGTCTGCAGAGTAATCCACCGGTATCAAGAGGATTCAACCAATAGGTTTCGGGTCCTTACATACAGGATCCTCCTGTTTTACCTTGCAATTCTACCACGGGGCCTTGTTTTCTGAAACTCCCACATTCCCAGCTTCGGCCTCCATCCTCACGACGCCGCTCGGTGCGACGACGGCGCCTCAGGGAAGCTGTTGTTGGGCACCCTAGAAACATCAGGTCTGCCACGGTTTAGGGTTTAGGGTTTAGGGTTTAGGGTCCCCTTAAGCCGTATGCCACAAATGCACAATATACCCTGAGTCACCAACTACGAGTGTTGAGCTCCTAGCGCAAGGTCATCCGGCTTCTTTGGCAGGGTGTCACTGAGGATGTCCTGCAGGAGCAGCTTACTGCAGCAGTCCATGTCTCAAGCTCCCAACGGGCACTCTGACACGCTCTTCCTTGTCCACCTCGTCTAAGTTCCGAGTGGTGCATGCAGAGGGCCGCGATGGCTTCTGCAAGGGACTGCGGCCCACCTCAGCGACCCGAAAAGATGGAATCAGCACTGATAACCTAGAACCCTGCTGGTAACTAGGTAAAAGTCTGCAACATGTCGCCACCGCACACGTCTCGCCACCGAACACTTCTTATGGTATGTCGGATGCTGCACCCTCAAACTACCCTCAGAGAACCTGTATAGAACCCTTGTTATACCTTTATGGAACCCCCTCGCAGATCCCTAAAATCCTAAAACCCTAAACCCTAAATCCTAAACCCTAAACCCTAAACCCTAATCCCTAATCCCTAAACCCCACACCACTGTGCCGCTGACGGACGGCTCCTCCAATCTCATCAGCTTTCGCCTCGGGCCGGATTCGGAGGACAGTCGCGGGGTGTCGAGGTTTAGGGTTTAGGGGTCTTGGGGGTGTTGGGGTTTAGGGTTTAGGGTTGAGGTTTAGGGTTTAGGGTTGAGGGAATTCGGGGTCTTTGGGTTTAGAGGCTTTGTGATTTTTTGGGTTTGGGGTTTGGGGGTTTGGGAATTAAGGGTCTTGGGGTTTAGAGGTTTTGAGTTTTTTGGGGTTTTGGGGGTTTGGGAGTTTGGGGGTTTGGGAAGTAAGGGTCTTGACTTCGATCGAACAGGCTAGTCTCGGTCGAATGCTGTCAAACATGACCTGATCAAATCAGAGCAGATCGATTCAGGTCATGCCATGCGAAGTAAGGTTAGCTGAGAGCAAGCCTTATTCTGTGGCGCTTCACTGCATCATGCCACAGTTTTATAGATTGTGCCTATACTCTACCGTTTGGAACTTATAAGTTGCTGATAGTAGTAGTAGTAGTAGTAGTAGTAGTAGTAGTAGTAGCAGCAGCAGCAGCCTCAGTAGCAGTAGTAGAAATCGTGGGGAAGGGGGATTCTAACCCCTCAACCCTGTTGCCTTATCTTGTCATCATCTCTTGTACCCAGAGAACCCAATACCCCTTAATTAAGGAATATACCTTAAATCATAATATTAAGGCCCCTATAATTCAAGGTATATTTCTTAATTAAGGTGTATTGGGTTCTCTGGGTAAGACCCGATTAGCTGCCGATGCCAAGCCGCCATCTCTCAAGGCGCTCCTTATCACCCGCAGCAAGACAGGCTCCTCGGGTGGGTTTGAGGGTTTCAGAAAATCGGGAGTATCCTATCTGGGCGTCCTGAGAATTAGGATCCTACTACTTCGGGTGACAAAGAGGGGTATTTGTCCTAACAAGGGGCGTACTCTTTTGGGGGGCTCACGAAAAAGAAACTCTTCCTCCCGCAATGCAGAAAACACACACACATACAACCCCGCCCCCCCGTCCTGCGACGGTGTTGTAGGTCACCTGCACCAGTCGGATTTCGGTACCCCTAAACTCTAGACTCTAAACCCCAGGTGCCGGGGTCACGGGACATTCGGCCTCGTTAGCTTGCAATCCGGCTGCAGCCATTCTTTCGAGCCTGGCTTTGCGAGATTGCACCACCCGGACATGCTGCAAAACTTGTAGGGCACCGTCTGATATCAACCGCACTTACGATGCCCCTCAAACCTTAATGAGCATTTCTGGACAAATAAACCCTACCCTACAATCTCTCTCGAGGTCTTATGATTGGCCTCATGGAACCTTGGAAAAAGAGCGCTAAACCAAAACACAGGCCGATGCACCAGTACCCGGCGAGGTCCAACTCACCCTGGCCGTGGCAATCAGGCTGCAAGGGACGATCGTAGATTTGATTCGAGTTACGGGGACAGGGCTCATGGTTTAGTATATTCTTCCGGGCACTGCGAGCCAATTCCTGTGTTCGCCGAAGATGCACTGGCTTCCGCTACTTCAAACAACGCATTCACATGACTGCTGCAGCAGGTTCTATGCTTGCCCCCACGAAAGCAGCGCGGCCTTCTGCACACATGCCTTGATGACACTGCTGTAGCCTCGGGTACCCAAGTATAAAGCGATGCGCCAGCGATGGACTAACAAAAAGCTCAAAAACCCAGAGCCCCTAAACTTTTCTGTAAACCCCTAAACACCTAAACCCTTGACCACTGAACACGATGATGATGGGCTCCCGGCTCACTTCATCTGCCTGGATGCCCTCGCTGAGCATCTTCTCCTGGCTTTCACAAAGCTGCTTCAATGTTTAGGGTTTAGGGTTTCGGGCTTAGGGTTTAGTGCTTAGGGCTTTGGGCTTAGGGCTTAGGATTTATTTAGCGAAATTTAGGGCTCACTGTGGAGAAGCAGACACGATGTGGTGTATCTGGCCATCGTAAAGCTACTTCTTCGCGTGCGGTCCTATGCTTGTGCCGTGTCGCATCTCGATACAACAAACCAAGCTACACTGCAGCACTCTGCACTGGAATAACTCGACTGCATCAAGCTGCACTAGACAATGAGCTCGAAGGCACTGAATGCAGCTAGTCTACAGAATCTACCCTTGACGACGGTACTCGCACATGACACGGCAATACATCAAATGGCTACAGTACCCTACAACAGCTTACATTCGTGTTCTAAGTAAGGCATTGAAGCGAAGTCCGGCAGAAGATGAATGGGTAGTTCTCTAAATTACGGTCCCTTTGTGGGTCCCCATTATAGTACGGCACCCTTATAAAAAGGACCCCAAAAGGGACCCTAATTTAGAGAACTACCCAAATGTAGTACTAGCAACAGTACTGACCAACTCGCCGAGGATGCCAGCCATGTCTCCGCCCGCTCAATGTCACGTCGTTGAGCGCAAGCCTTTGTGAGCATTGCAGTACATGGGTGGTTGTCAAAATTATGGTCCCTTTTAGGGTACCCTAAATAATAGGTGCCGTATTATAATACGGACCCAAAAAGGGACCCTAATTTTGACAACCACCCACTTGACTTCGTGGTTTCGGATTCTAGGATTTGGGGCCATGGAAGCCCTCAACCCTGAACGTTGAGAGCACCAAGTACCCCAATCCCACACGAGTCCCTCGTGCGCCATGTTCGCCGGCGTGAATCTTCGCGTTGCTTTGAGGCCCCTGGCGTTGATGACACTGTTGTAGCTGAAGGCATCAGTTTTCACCTCGGCCGTGCGGCGAAAAGAGCTGAAGAACTCTCCACACGGCCCTCCCTTGATATATTATCAATATTACTCAATATTAAGAAATCAAACTCTCTTCGACTCTCTTCCTCCGGTTTTTGCCTGGACCTCTCTGAGGCCGGTGCTCCAGCCGCCAGCATCCTCTCGAGCCAGACTTCCTTGCCGGTTTAGGGTTTAGGGTTTAGGGTTTGGGGTTTAGGGTTTAGGGTTTAGGGTTTCGGGTTTCGGGTTTAGGGTTTAGGGTTTAGGGTTTAGAGTTTAGGGTTTAGGCACAAAAGGACCCTACAGAGACCCATTCGGGCCGGGCCCCCGGCCGCGCGGGACACGCGACCCTTCTGCGCGCACGCGTTGATGACGCTGTTGTAGCTGACCTCAGGGGCCGAAGAGCATTCAGGATGCTTTGCTTCGCCACGGACCGACGAGGCCTCGTTTGCCTGAATGCCAGCTTCCAGCATGCGCCCAAGCCTTCGTGGCAGCATGTCGAACTAAGGTGGCTTTCTGCGCAAGGAACGTTGACTGCAGCAACCAGAGCGCGGCTACACAGTCTCTGGTGCTAGAGATACTGCAGGCTTTGGGAATCCGACCACATCTCGGCGCGCTCAACATAGCCAGTTTGTGCACAAGCATTGATGACGCTGTTGTAGCTGACCTGAAGACACTCAACATGCTCAGAAGCATAACCGGAAACCAGCGAACCCTAAACCCTAAACCCTAAACCCTAAACCCTAAACCCTAAATGCTGCTCTTCCACTGTGTGCCTCGTTGGGCTTCACATCGTTGTCCTGCATCCATATCAGCCATTCCTCCGCTTTCTGTGGCCTCCTCAGCATGCGGCGACCTAAACCCTAAAACCCCAAACTCAAACCCTAAACCATCTAGACTCTAGGCCACATCCTAAACCCTAAACCCTAAACCCTAAACCCTAAACCAAAGTCATTCCAGTCATCCAACCCGAAGACTCGACAGAAAAGAGTGGGTCTGACAGGCCACCTCGCTTTCGCAAAGACGTTGATGGCCGCATTTAGATGGATGCGGTTTGGCCTCGCACCGGACTTTTTCTGGAAATCCCCTGTGCATGGCAACCGCCTCCTCTTTCGTTATCACTGTCGAAGTTACAGTTGGTGTTACCACTACGAATACCATTCTAATAAGCTAGTTATGAGTTTCCTGTCGCTGATTCGGCCCCATTTGCATTTCTCGCCCTGTAGCTACGATAACGCTACCGGCTCGTCGTCCAACAATTTGAATGTAAGTGTAGGGGTTACAACTGCTACCACGACTTAGCTCACGACTGCAATGATGACGGCCATAAGGATTACTAACTAGTACCAGTACCATTACAGACTGCTCCCATTGCGATTACTACGATTTGGCCGTTACTGTTACCATTCAACTACTACTACAGTACTACTACTACTACTACTACTACTACTACTACTACTACTGCTACTACTAATCCTGCTCCTCCTGCTCCTCCTGCTCCTCCTGCTCCTCCTGCTGCTGCTGCTGCTGCTGCTACTGCTGCTGCGACGACGACGACGACGACGACTACTACGACTAATACTCCTCTTACTGCTACCCCGCAAAACAAGCTAAGTCCCCAAGCCCTAACCTCTGAGATCCCTAAACCCTAAACCCTGAACCCTGAACCCTTAAATTTCGAAACTCCGGCCTGATACTGCGAGCCGACATTTCTGCAAAGACGGCGTCAACGTCCCACCTGCCGCAGAGAGGGGCCTTTAGGGTGTGGGCCTTTCGGGGACTCTAATTAAGGTACTGTGAGGCTTACTATACCGGATACTATAGGGCTACTGTCAGCGTACTTTCAGGGTGCTCTTTTTGCTTACGGGGGGTTTCCGGAGATCTCTCTTGAGTTCGAAACCACCGAAGCTTTCATCTTCGCCGGTTCTCAGGAATCAACCCCAGATCCCCATTCGACGAGCGCGTCGCAAGCACTGGTGGCCCATATCACAGGGGACGAGGGCCTAGGGCTTTGGGGGCTTTTTAAGGTGAACCCTGAACCCTAAACCCTAAACCGTAAGCCCTAAGCCCTAAGCCCTAAGCCCTAAACCCCAAGCCCTAAACCCCTAAGCCTAAACCCCTAAACCCTAAACCCTAAACCCTAAACCTTAAACCCTAAACCCTAAACCCTAAACCCTAAACCCTAATTATGGTTTTCGGGAGCTTCGGCTTGGGCTATGCAGTTTCGAGGCTTGGCTCTGGCTGTCCGGCTTCCGATCCTCGGCGTTGAATGGGGTTTAGGGTTTAGGGTTTAGGGTTTAGGGTTTAGGGTTTAGGGTTTAGGGTTTAGGGTTTAGGGTTTAGGGTTTAGGGTCTGGTGCTCAGTAGGGAATGGGGGAATGGATCCCTATGATAGTCCCTTAAAGTCCCTTACAGTAGTCCCTATAACCCATTCACCCATTCCCTACTGAGCACCAGACAGTGGTGTTCAACAGCTGCCTTCTTCCATGGTGAACTCCTATTCGAACGGACCAGGCTAATTTTTGGAGGCTGCTTGGGTAAATTGAAGCCCCGATCCCAAATCCCAAGGAACACGCAAGCCCAGAAACCTAAACGCTCAACGCCACACCCGAACCCTAAACTCTAGATCAGATGCCTGAAACCCCCAAACCCAAAACACCAGCACCCCAAGACCATCGGTGGCTCCGGGCACCAGCGCCGCTCGCGGGCAAGCTTCGCCAGGATGGACGTGAAAACTCCCGGGCCTGGACACGACGTGATGACTCCAGGGGCTATAAAAAAAGTAGTATCGGTTTAGGGTTTAGGGTTTAGGGTTTTTTTGAAAGTGCACTAGCCCTTTCTCTCGCACGAGGTCAAAGACTCGCTCAGTTTGAGCGTACACTAACTAGCCCTCAGGTAGCCTCAGTCAAACTTCATCTTCACTCGTGATGCCATAAACTACTCAAGCTCATCTTCAAGCTCACTGGGTAGCGATCCATCAACCCTCAGAGGTAGTAGACACCGGGTTTAGGGTTTAGGGTTTTAGGGCATACTATGCTGTACTTGTATGAAAGAGCCCTGAAGAACGACATAGAAGAACCTTAGAAATGATTCCGACTCGTCCACTGGGGCTGGGCCTTGGGGGATCTTGCGCCTCGAAGCTGTTAGGGTTGGGGGGGCTTCAGGGTCTTTGCGGGGGCTCTTCTCAGGCTTTTCCACATGAATTGGAACATATGGATGGAGATGTATGTGCACAAACCTGCGCATCCCGCAACATGGAATGCCGAGGAATAGAACACAATACTAGGTAAACGACTGTTGGGAACTGAGTACAGCCTGCTAGAGGACGGCATGTTGCTACACTGATCTGCTTGCAAACCACATTCACTTCTGCAGATTTGTTCTGGTCGCAATCTCAGGCAACTGGACAGGATCCGACAAAGCATCTTTGGTACGAAACGTGTGAAGCTTTTGTTCTTACCTAGGGGATGACGTGCGGCCATCAAAGCTGCAACTCGGTGCAGTTTTGCCTGAGTTTCTTGGCAGCGCCGAGAGCGTCTGCGAGAATCGAACCTTATACAGCGCACAACATATGCCGACACCACCCGGTCTCTTCGAACAGAAAGCCCTTGGCTGCGCCTACATTCCATGCGATTGCTGAGTAAGCCTCGCACATCACCCTCCTCTCTGTCCCGCTGAAGGGCAGCAGATTTCTCTGGAGGTCGATCCCTGACCCAGGAAAGATCATGCAAGACCATGGCCCAAACAGCAGCAATCAACAACGAACAAACAAATCAAGTGGTACCTATGTGTCTGTCTGTCTGGCTGTCTGACTGTCTGGCTGTCTGGCTGTCTGCCTGTCTGCCTGTCTGTCTGTCTGTCCGTCTGCCTGCCTGCTCTGTCTGTATGTAGTATATGTCGGTGTGTGTGTGTGTGCGTACGTGTGCATGTTTGTTTGTATGTATGTATGTATGTATGTATGTATGTACGTATCTATGCATATATGTATGTATGTGCAAACGAACATCTTCAATGTGAGTGAGTGTGCCTGAGTGTCTGTGCATGGAGCATGGAGCGTCGTTGCTATTACATTGCTCACTAAAGCTCGCCGGATTAAGCTACTGCTGACATTCGTTCTTATTGGTGTTATTGCTGGTCGCCATAATTGGAAAACGAGGTGTCATGACTGCTCTTCTCATTTTCTTGTGAGGAAAGACTTAATATGTCGCCTTACTTTGATCATTCCGCCGACTAGCCGTATTCCTGCGAACCTGATTACGACTGTCATGGTTGATTGCCATCGTACTGGTATTCTCGTTGCGATCATGGCGCTTCTTACTGCCCTCTAATCATAACGCTCTGCCGACCACCGAACACTCACATGTACACCTGAAACACAGCAATGAGTGTGTCTGCGTGTGCACGCACCACAGTTTGTGGACCTGCGAAACCTCACAGACACAAATACACATAAATTTACAGGTGCATGTGCATGTACACGCGCATGTACATGTACACGTACATGCACATAGATCTCGATATAGACGGCCAAAGCACACCAGATGGTATGCATGTCTTCGAACTGGAACTCTCTCTATACTCACACAAAGGTGGACCATCACAGAGAGAGGGAGAAAGAGAGATTCTGGTAATTATAGACTCCACGGTGTATGATATCTACGTTTCTGTCTCCTGGAGTTGCTGTGCTTGGCAGACGCTGCAAGGAAAAAGTAATCAAAGGTCCTGCGCTGATGTGGGTCATACGTCTTTTTGCTAAGGCTTGGAATGTGTTGCTCAGATTTTCGGGAGCTGCGGGCTAAGCGCCAACACTATAGCACTGGAACTTCGAAAGAGAGGCCAGTGCAAACCCAGCATTGTGAACCCTCAGAGACAGGTAGGCAGACCAAAAACCCTAACCCTTAAACGCCTGAACTTAAAACCTAGACCGCTAAGCCCTAAACTCCATGAACAGTGTAAGCCTCATCTCCTTGCCATCTTTCTCCCGAAAGTCGGTTCCATTCTCCTTCGCCAGGCTCGTGAGACGCCCTAAGCCTATGTAACCCTAAACCTGAATCCCTACAGCTTAGATGAAACCTTACTCACTTAAGCCTGGAACCCTGAGTACCTTCGTACATGCTTTTCTGTCGGACATGCTCAGAAGCAGTCATGCCCTGCCTTGGGACCGGAGACCATGGCGCTGTTGCAGCACCGCTTAACGAAGACCTGCCCATCGGCACAGGTGCGTTTGAGATTCAGGATTAGCATCTAGGGTTCAAGTCTGAAAGGCTCTTGCTGAAATGTACAACAACATCGCCATGAGTGAAGACCTAGTGCGCGTTGCGTGGTGAGTCGCTGCTGCAAGCAAACGCGCGCCCCTTCTTTTCACCAAAATGCAAAGGGGAGGCTACCTACTCTTGGAGCCCATACCACCGGGGGGGAGAAAAATGTGAAACCCCAGGATGGTGGATGGGGCCTCGGGCCCTACGGCTTGGGGTGGAGGGTTTTGGGTTTTCGGGCTTGAGGAAGCCTAGGGTTGAAGGTTTCCGAAAGTTTAGGCTTATTGAAGTTAAGGGCTACCTGTCGTAGCCCCAAAGTGCCCTTAGCGATCTTATAGCACCCTGAAAGTAAGCTTGGTAACCTCATAGCAACCACACAAGGCTCTTATAGTACCCTTTTGTAGCCTCTAACAACTCTACTATACTGAACTTAGACCCCTAGCAAAAATTATAATTTTAGCTGCTTCTTAGGGTTTATAGTAACCAAAGATCAAGACTTATTTCTAAGTACCCCTAAGTCTAGAAGCCTCACCAGGGCTTGCGTGGCACTGTGGGCCTAGGCCCATCGGCAGGGCCGCAGGCCACACGAATCCTGACACGGCCAGCCAGGCGAGCGAACTGCACAACGTATCTTCAAATATATATTATATTATATTATATTATATTATATTATATTATATTATATTATATTATATTATATTATATTATACTATATTATATTATATTATATTATAAAACTTAGACGCATGATATACTTGTATGGGGGTTTCTGATAATGAGGGGTACCTTATTTTGGGGTCCTTATAGCAAGGATCCTACTATTTAGGGTACTATATTAGGGTCCTCTATTTTCGGAAACCCCCCTATACACATACAACATACGGTATAATGCAATGTAAGGTGACCTGGTACAAAACTGAGAGTACCTGCTACACTATGCTATGTTATGCAATACCATGCCATGCCATGCCATCTATACCACATCACAAAATACTACACCGTGCCTTACGATACTATACAGTAATATGCTGGGTTATGCTGTACTACACTGTACTATACTGTACCATACTGTACTATACTGTAATATCCTTCAAAGGCGAGAGTAGAACCGAATGAAATACAACAACACAGCAAAATATCATACAACATCATACAGAATCATATAGCGTCATAACGTACCATACAATGCCATAGAATGTCAAGAAATGTCATGTAATCTCGCATGGTACCATATGATATCAAAAAGTAACATGTAATATCAAATCACACCATACAAATATAGTAGAATGTATTATGATGCAATATGATAGAATATGACATAGCAATATATAATGGAATGTAATGTAATATAACATAACATGGTATAATGTAACATCAGATAAGATGAGATAACACAAGATGAGACAAGATAAGGTTATTCAATAAGATATAACATACTATGATAAGCTATACTGTTAAACGAATATGATATGATCTAACAGTATGGCCTGTTGCAGTATAGTGTAACGTGATGTAACACCATGTAATAAAATATACTACCACCAAATAATACAGTGCAGGAAGTGCAGTACCATACCATATTGATATGATGTGCGTAGATGCTCGTCGTATGAAACATATGAAAACAAACCTAATAATACCCATGATACCCCATGATATCCCATGATATCCCATGATACTAAGTAGAAACACCACGGTGATGGCTCCTACTTTGACACGTCCATAGAGTCGCTGCTCTCAGGCCACCCGTCCCGCCTTGATTTGAGGGTAAAATCGCCTTGGCAGCCCGGAAAGGTTTAGGGTTTAGGGTTTAGGGTCTAGGGGTTAGGGTTTTAGGTTGCTAATCGACAGCCTGCAGGTGATGATATCCGCTCACTGCTGACAGGCAATAAATGGGTTCTTGTTAAGGGATTTAATTTAAGTTACCATAATAAGGAAACCATATTGTTTACTATAGATCCCTATTATGGTAACTTAAATTAAATCCCTTAACAAGAAGCCAGATAATGGCAAGCCTGCCTGTTCGTGCCAAGTCGCAGAGAGCGCGACGATGGTGTCGCCGCAAGCGTTGTAAAGTTGAGGCGAGGTGGGCTAAACTTATTGCTGACACATCTTGAAACCCCTTCTTTCCGACCCTGCTGGATGGCTGTGGCTGCTGACTCATACTCTTCCGTGCTTCTACCTTGGACGGTTGTGTTTTGCTGGAGAACTAATTTGCCTGTACTTAAGGAGTTCATTGGTGAAAGTCCAAGCACAAAGCATGGTGCTGTCTCCAAAGCTCCGTTTAGAGAGGAGGCGGCTAATGTCGCAGCCAGCTGTAAGGTGCCTCGGATGGGCAGCCAAAATGCAACTGAAGCAACGTGAAGACACCGGCGACAAAGCAAAATATAATATATATATATATATATAATAAAATAAGATTATATATATATATATAGTCCCTTTTGAAGGAGTTTTTTGCCGAGCGGCTGCAAGGTTGAGAGCAGCAGCCCGCGGGGGACAGCTGCCAGACGGAATCCGCGATGACTACGCGGTAAAGTTGCTGGGAGCCAACAGAGCAGTCGACGAGGCCCTCTGTTGCATCAAAAAGAACTTGACTGTGTCCCGTGTAGAGTCTAGAAACCTACGGCCTCACGGCAACTTAGCCCTGTCTGCTTCAGGCCCTGCTTTGCTATGCTTGCTTTCTTCACGGCCCGGCTCCTTGGGTGCCTGCTGTTGCGACAGCTTGGTCTCCAAAGTCAAGTCGACCTTAACGCAGCTTCAGCGACTCTGTCGGAAGATCGCTACATATAGGCTTGGGTTCCCTGGCTTGGGTCCGAATGTGAGACCCTGCAAGCAGAGCATCCTGAGCTAGACTGCGGTAGACTGGGCATCGCACTTCAAAGATAAGAGCGGGTCCCAGCTCCTGGTTGGCAACAGCTCTTCTGAGATCTTCTCTTAGTACTCCCGATGACGTATATGGGCAGTTTTCAAAACTAGGGCTAACCAGGGTCCCTGTTTAAGATCCCCAATATAGTACGGCACCCTTATACAAAGGACCCCCCAAGGGACCCTAATTTAGAGAACTACCCATATGACGTGCGTCGTGAGGGTTCTGGCTGTGTGTATTCCTCCCGATACATCAGCCTTTACCTTCCTCTTGGTTTCATGGTCCTGGTTGTACGTGAAGCAAAGGCCCGAAACTAATCAGAGTACTTTAACAAGATCAACTGGGAGCCGAATTCAGACACCAAGCTTGCCTTGCCTCAATGAGCAGGGTGCACGCATCATTCATGTAGGCGATGACGGTGTCCTCTTTCATGCGGACCTGCGATGAACAGTTGAAGACGCATTGTTCGAAGCATACAAATCCATGAGCGGCATAGCGTGCTCAGACAGCGCTCACAGGACCTGAAGCTGAAGAGCCCTGTTCTCGTGTCAACAGAACCTAGGAGCCCCATCACAAGGTTAACCGCTGCGGTCCCTTTTGATCTGTGCGTTTCAATCGTTCTGGCAGTGGTGGTGGTTGTGATGGTGGTGGTGGTGGTGGCGGCGGCGGTGTTGGTAGTACCGGCCATGAAAAAGATTACGAGGAAGAAGATGATGATGCTGCTGATGATGATGGCGGTAATGATGATTGGATCGGCGATGCTAGCATTGATGATAGCAGCCATCATCACCATCATCACTATCACCATCACCAAAACATCCTTTTCAGCATCGCCATCGCCATGACCATGACCATCACAATCATCATCCTCGTCATCACCATCGTCATCATTATCATCATGATCATCATCCTCATCACCATCGTCATCATCACCATCATCACAATGATCATCATCATCATCATCATCATCATCATGGTCATCATGGTCATGATATTCTTACTCGGCATCTTGGACATCACCGTCGTCATCATCATCATCATCATCATGATCAGAAATATCGTTCTCCTTCCTGATGCCATTACGCTTTGCCGTTCCGGAGACTGACATCGTCCATTTTATGATTGGCATGCTCGCTTTCATGGTTCGTATGTGTCGTAAGCAGAAAGAGACTGCACTGCCACTCTTGATATTGCTGCGAGCCTTCTTGTGAGTATTGTCAGCGTTGCTATCACTGCCCCTCGACTGAACCCGAAAGCCTCAAGCCCAACACTACATGTAAAGGCCTGGTAGACTTGCGAAGGGGCATCACGGGGAGCCAAGCCTGTAGAGCGTGCTAGGACTTGTCTAGTCTTTCTGCGTTCGGCGTGGAGGCTTCGCTTCTGGGGCGTGGGGCGTCTTTTGTGTAGAGGTTACCGCTTCGGGCCGTCGCAGCGCAGATCCTGCAGGTTTGAGGCAACTCCTTCTGCATCGTAGATTTTTCCAATGCATGAGTATTCATCGTGTATTCATCGTGACAATGCCTGAACCCTAAAGCAAACACCCCAAACCCTAAACCCTAAACCCCAAACCCTAAACCCTACTCTCAGAGTCGTGGCTCTCAGAGATTCCATGAGCAACTTCTGGCTGCGCACTCGCCAGCGCCGGGGATGGCCCAAGGTAGTACAGGAGAACCACCTGCTCGAAGTTAGGGTTTAGGGGTTTAGGGGTTTAGGGGTTTAGGGTTTAGGGGTTTAGGGTTTAGGGTTTAGGGTTTGGGGTTTAGGGTTTAGGGTTTAGGGTTTAGGGCACCGGTAGTGCTTATCACCTGCCTGAAGAATCGGAAGGCCAGAACTCAGAAGACCACAAAACAGCAAAATGCAATAAACTACCAACATGCTATAACCTACTCTCAGATACCAGACCATTCGATAAGAT